CAGTACAAATTTTCAGTTTCTGACAATGGAATTCCCAAACTTTGTAGAACCATAGAAATCTCTCTTTTTAAATTAAAAGTGATATATTGTTTGTTATAAAAATGCTTCAAGCACCACAATAATGTATAAAAATAAATATCGTCAGTTTGAAAAATTGTTATTTTGTTGTTTTTTGTTAATCCTTACCCGAGGATATTTAAAAAAAAAATATCTATATCTATATATATATATATATTATTAATTTTTCACAGAGAGGAAGAGAGAAGGCTAGTTAGAAACATCAATGAGAGAGAAACATCAATCAGCTGCCTCCTGCACACCCCCTACTGGGGATGCGCCCGCAACCAAGGTACATGCCCTTGACCTGAATCGAACCTGGGACCCTTCAGTCTGCAGACCGATGCTCTATCCACTGAGCCAAACCGGTTTCGGCCACCCGAGGATATTTTTCCCATTGATTTTTAGGGAGAGGGAAAGAGAAGGAGGAAGGACAAGAGAGAGAGAAACATCGATGTGAGAGAAACACATTGACTGGTTGCCTCCCACATGTGCCCTAACTGGGATCAGGGATTGAACCTATGACCCAGATACAACCACTTGGCAACACCAGCCAGGGCCAAAAAATTATTTTTAATTGTGTTGATGGCTATATATTAAATAGATTACACTCTATATACTATTCTGGATTTTTGAAGTATACTTTGGAGGTGTCCCCCTATTTATACATATTTACTTCTATTTTTTTTAAGTGGCTGTATAGAATTTCATTATACAAACAAACGATGATTTCTTTATTCAATCCCTCATTGATGAATATTTAGATTGTTTCTAGTTTTCTGCAGTGACCAACCACTTGCATAAATATAGGATAAATTTCTAAGACCACACTATTTCTACGGGAGCTTGGCCAGCCCTGTCTTCCCTAGCTTTGCTGTCGTCCTGTGTAGACATGCAGCTTTGATTGTTTGGCGTCTTGTAACATCACAAACGTGAGGAAAGCAGTATTGGGAACAGCTGTTATGCTGAGAATGCTGGAAGAGGTCCATGTTCTTCCTTCAGCATTTCTGACATCTCCTGACAGAGGAAAACTTCACTTACACCACCGTCCCCTCTGTTTCCCTTTTCTATTCTCCCCCAAAAAAAATTACATTGAAATTTTATTAATTCAGTATTCACTGTTTCCATTATTATGCTTATGTAAGTATTACTTATAGCTGAGCATTTTCCCATACAAGGGTTTCCTTTCATACTTTTTCTGCAAATTAATATTTGCCTTGCTTTTAAAATTTGCTTAATATTCTTTAACCCTGTTGCTAACTTTTCTCTCTCTAATTGCCTTTCAACATACTTTTCCACAAGATAATCACATCAGATGATTCATTTATTCCTTTTTTGTGTGTGTGACATCCTGCGAGAAGCCTGTTACCCAGTTGTCCTCGGACTTCCCTTTGCTCTCAACCTTGGAATTCTGGTGGGGGGGTGGTGGTGCAGGGAGGGGAGGGGAAAGGAGAGGGGACTCCTAGAGACAGTAGAGAATGAGGGAGAACTGGGCCCCTTCCCTGCCTCACTCTGCCCCAGACCTCAGCCATGAGCACCATTCCCCACCACTTGGGAAACACACACTATGAAGTGGAGTGAATTCCTTCACCCTGCCAGCATAAGCCTCAGCTTTAAGAATGTCTGCTTTAGGCTGAAGGTCTGGCCAGACACTCAGACGCTTCCAAAGCCTTTAAGTTTGTTTGTGAAATATTTTCGTATTTGTCTAAGATGGTATACGGCAGAGGGCACGGCGATGACAGCCCTCAGCATGCCTGGCTCTTGAGTCACGCTGGCTGGCCGCTTTAATGCCATTGTCATCCGTCACTTCCCTTCACCTCCTCCCAGAAGTCCCTGCGGCTGCCCCTCGTGTGCCAGGTCTCCAGCTTTCTCTGCCTCCTGTCATCTTCTTCGATAGTTTATGCCTTTTTGGTGGAGAGCATCCTCCAAGGGGCTTCCCGATAGGTTAAAAGAGATTAACCAAAGAACTTATAAGTATATATGCCTAGTCCATGGACTCAGCCACACACAGGTGAAGGCCTGGTAGGGGTGATGGGTGGAGGAGGGCAAAAGTGAGAAAATGGGGGGCAGCTGTAATACTCTCAACAATAAAACAAATTTTAAAAAAGAGAGAGACTGAGACCTTATCTCAGTTTAAAAAGTATTTTCTCTTCACGCTTGATTTCTGTTTTGTTTGTTTTTGGTGAAAAATAATATTTCTTCAAAAATTTGGATGCATTTAAAAATGTTTAATTTTTTCTATCACTATTTATTCCTTCTATGCAGTCTTCTACCTCCACCCATCCCCCTCCACCCCCAAAAATCACTATTGTCCATGTCCATGAGTTCCTTTTTTATTTACTCAATCCTGCCATCCCCCTTTCTACCTCCCATCCCCATCATCACCACCCTGCCTCCAACCCACACTGTCCGTCCCCCCCACCACCTCCCCCCCAAGCTGTCTTCCTGCTCTCTAGCAATGATTCTCTCTATTTTGCTTGGCAGTTCAGTTTGTACATTAAATTCCACATATGAGTGAAATCATATGGTGCTTGTCTTTCTCTGAATGGCTTACCATGATGTTTAATTTTGGAGGCATTTTTAAGTGCCTTCTATCTCCCAGTGCTGTGAAGGAGTCTGTTGTCCTTCTATTTTCTGCTTCTTTGTGAAGTTCTGTTTCTTTTTTACTTCCCGAAGCTTGTAGAGTCCTCTCTTTACTCACTGCATTCTGAATTTTAAAATCATAGGCCTTGCTTTTTGTGTCCATTACGGAGGCACTTGGTGGATGCTTTCTGCCTGAGGAAACAAATTTTAATTGCTTTGTTCTTGACGTCCTAGCCTTTGTTCTCTCTGTTTTCTCTTCCCCTGACCGCTATTATTTGGAGGTCCCCAGGGTCACAGCGCCTGTTCCCGGTTCACGGACCCAGCTGCTTTCCTGTTGCCATCTTCCCGGAGGATGTCCGTGTTGCTGTTCTAACGTTCCCTTCTCTCGCCATCGTTTCTGTTTCTTTTGAGGGGCTCTTGTTCTGTTTGTTTTGGTCTCTGACTCTCTTATTTGGGACTCTCCTGGGCAAATAGGATCTCGTATGTCTATGGTTTAGAGTAGGGAACTCTCGGAAGCTGGGCACCTCACTGTGGGGTTATCTGGCTGGGCCATATTGCTGGGGGACCCCCAAACTTCAGATCCTCCCTCATGAGCTCCCACCAAAAAACATCTTCCAATATTTTGCCTAAAGAGTAAAGTCTGGCTGCCAGCTTTCTCAGGACCTAGTGCAGGAAGAGGGCTGGGGAATCTCCGCATTCTAGACTTCGTATGTCTGCAATCTTTTAATCCCCAACTGTAATCCACCGTCTCAAGCGTACCAAATGTGCTCGATTTTATCCTCCCCAGAAAACAAACCACGGCCTTCTACTGACGGGGGAGGAGACTTTCCTATCTGAGTAGAACAGGGGAAGGGGCCTAGGGCTTTGATTGTTTCCCAAACAGGTTTGTCCACATCCTTCCCTCCCACCCCCACAGAGACCTTGGCTGTTCCTTCCTGAGCCCTCTCGGGATCTTGGGGCTAACTGGTTGGTCCTCCACGCTCCCTTCTTAAGACAGGAGAGTTTTTCTAGAATCCGTGTGGATATGCCACTGGGATGAGAAAGAGGATTGGGAGAGAAGCTGCTCGAAGCCAGGGGCGCAGTTCAGGTGTAGAAATGTCCAGCCAGCCTTCCTGGATGTGGCCTCTTGCACGTGTCCCGCTGTGGAAGCACCCTCTTCTCTGCTGCAGAGGATTTCCTCAGCATCTGGTCTGTGACAACAGTGACCTTGTGTCCCCTCTCAGCGGCTGGAAGTGACTTTTTTTGGTCACCTTAACATAGCTACTCGGGAGTTTCCTCCCTGGCTTACTTCTTCTTTTTTTTTTTTTTTTTTTTTTTTAAATGATTGTTTATCGTGTTACAGATGTCTCCCATTTCCCCTCCTTAACCCACCTCCACCCAAGGGTCCCCCCCCTTCCTCACCTCCCCATCTTCACCACCTTGTTGTACATGTCCATGGGCTATGCATACTAGAATGTAAGTTCTTCGGTTTATCCCTGCTCATCCTCCCGCCCCACCCCCACCCCTGGCTTACTTCTTAGTTCTGGTGGAGGACCACAACAACGTTGTTTAAAGTTTGGCTCATAAGTAAGGTGACCAGGTGTCCCGCTTTTGGCGGGTCAGTCCCGATTTTTAACAAATTGTCCCGCGTCCCTCAGCGTTTTAAGATATTCTTTGCAGCCGAAACCGGTTTGGCTCAATGGATAGAGCATCGGCTTGGGGACTGAAAGGTCCCAGGTTGGATTCGGGTCAAGGGCATGTACCTTGGTTGCGGGCACATCCCCAGTAGGTGCGTTATGGACCATCGCTAGCTTCTGTCACACGGGGTGCCGTGTACACCGCTTCCCTGAGGTCAGCGAAGGTTCGTTACCTTAAAAACATCCTGCCTCACGAGCCTGGGGAAGCCACAGGAGCCTCTTGGGCGCACAGAGAGGATGAACTCTGCTGCAAGGCCACAGCGTGGGGCCTCTTCCAAAAACGAACGACATAGTGTAAGCTTATATTAACTCACTTTCCAGCCACGGAAAGCTTCTTATAGAAACAGCTCAGTGCCCAGGCAGCTCCCAGGGGTCACAGGTATCTGAGGTCAGCGGCCATAAGGATGAGAAGCCCTGTGGGTCCTCAAGGGGCGCTGCCCGGAGCCGCAGGTGAGAGCCGGTGTTGTGGTTCGCCTGCTGTCCCCAGAGCTCAGCGTGTGCTGGTCCCGTGTCCCGTATGTTGGGCCTGTGGAACAGCGAGTCCGTGAGTGAGATGACTTTCTGTGCAGCCTAGGAGTTTGCCCTATCTAAGCCTTTCTTAGTTTACGTTTTTCTTTTTCTTTCTTGAGCTGAATTCCGTGGCGTCGCTAAAGAATGTTTGTGCTGCTTCTTTCTCTTCACTAGGGCCCCAGAGCATCTCGTGAAGAGCATCATGTGGCAGACGTTGCAAGCGGTGAATTTCTGCCACAAACACAATGTAAGTCTCATCATCTCCCTTAAAAAACTCAGCAGGCTGCCCTTCAGCTGAGGCGGAGCCTCTGTTCAACGTTTATGTCCTGCTTTTGTGGATATAATTTTTCACCCAAATCTTCTTAAGCCGGGTTAGGGTACGTGGAGGCTAAACATGCCACCCCAGCGATTCCCTTCTTGTTCGGGTCGCATAAAAGGTGCATTTTTATGACTTATGCTTACCAGAAACTACTCAAATTTAAGATAGCATCCCATCCATTTGGAGTCTGTATGGGTTGCAGTGTTTCCCAAAGTGTGGTACGCGTACCCCCAGGGGTACAGGAAGAGTTTGGTGGGGGTACACGTTGCACCGGGGTTTGGTGGGGATATGCACTGCACCATACTTAGCTGCGCCTAATTCTACGTTCTCATGAGTATGAGGGGTGCTCAGCGTTATGAAAATTATAGAAGGGGTGCACATATGTCAAAAGTTTGGGAAACACTCGGTTAGGGAGCGGAAGCCCACGTGATTCTGCCCATGCAGATGCAGGAGGTGGAGTCCCAGGCACAATGCCCCCCTGCTGGCGCCTGCTGTGCTGAGATGTGAGTGCGAGGTCTGGGACCAGCCAGCCCAGTGGGAGCCTGTGCCACTCGCGGCCACAGCAGGGCCTGGCAGAGGCAGTGGACTCAGGCTGTGACCTCACAGATGCTGGGAGCCTGCTGCCCCTCCAGTGCCGCACTGCCCACTCGCTGCACATGAAGCCAGTTCTGATGTTCGAGCTCAATTTCGGCCACAAGGGCAGTCTGACTGCAATAGGCCGGCCTGCTGGCTGCTGGGGTCAGTTAGCTGGTGGGCCTGAATCTTCCTTTCTAAGCTGATCTAAATGACTTTCCCTGACGCTGCTTTCCCAGGTGGAGGAAATAGGACAGTAGTGAGCGCTTTGCCCTACCGAGTCTCCACTCACTGAAGCTATAGTCCTTGACAAAATGCATGTATGGTGGGGAGCATGGGCAATTACTTATTTATTTAGAAAATATAATTTATTGATTTCAGAGAGGAAGGGAGAGGGAGAAAGAGATAGAAACATCAACGATGAGAGAGAATCATTAACAGGCTGCCTCCTGCACAACCCCTACTGGGGATCGAGCCCACAACCTAATAAGCATGTGCCCTTGTCTGGAATGGAACCCAGGACCCTTGAGTCCTCTATCCATTGAGCCGAACCAGCTGGGGCAGCATGGACGCTTTATATGGCTGTTCACTGAGAGCGAGGCTTCAGGACGGGAGCCAGAGAGACTGCATACAGGCCCTGGTGGGGAAATCAGAGACAGCGAGGACCAGTGCATACCACCGTTCCCTGGAGAGCCCCTTACCGCACTGTTTGGCCACATGTGCTGATGGGGGGAGGGTGCAGAAACTTGTCAAGAATTCCCAGAACAGACTAGGAGCACATTCTTGCTTACAAGTCCTGCTGACCATCTGTCGCCATGATATCCACGGGCATGCCCATTTATAGTAACATGTGAAGCCCGTGGCAGAGAGTGGAAGGGATCTCAGGGCCATTAATTGCTGAGAACCAGATAGACTGTAATACAATAATTCAGACATTGTCTTCCCCAAATGTTTTCCAGAGTAATGAATACCCTTTGGGGAAACACTGACACTGATCTCTCACCCCGAAGGCCTTTTGGAGAGAGTGCTAGGCCAGGCCCAAGAAGAACCTCTGTCCTCTTTCCAGATGCTAGAAAGCCAAGAATGCCCCAGGGTGTCAGCCACAGCCAGGGGGGTCTCTCCTTGCAGAAGGAGCCGACATTCTTCTCCAGAGAGGAACAAGCTTGGACGAGGGCAAGATGATTTACTGGGAACCCTGCAAAGCATTTAACCCACTTGTGTTTATGTAATTGTTAATGAAATGGTTGTTTCGTTCTTTGCCAAGGAAAGTATGTAATAAGAAAATCATGTGAAGATCCTTAAGCATGCTTCGAACATCTCCCTGTTGAACCATGTCAGCTGTGGTTTGGAAACCACAGGTGATTTGGGTCTAAATGTGTGGGGGGGGGGCGGGGGGGGGGGGCGCGGATGCAGCTCCGAGCACGCTGGTGTGTGGGACGGAGCTGACATCTAGCGACGCTCCGCAGAGCGTGAGCGCTGCCCGCTCTTGTTTATCTTGTCAGGACAAATGTCAGGGCTGGAAGGGAGGTCTCGCAGGAGGCGCTGGTTCCGCCCTTCTCTTCCCCAGTTTATCTCGGCGGGCCCAGCGCTCGTCCTGTTTACCAGGGGACTGTGTTCTGTTCTGTTAAACAGCTGAACTATGTATGAATCCTGCTTAGGCACCAACTTGCGGCTCCAGCAAAGCCCTGTCTAAGCTTTTCAGAGTTTCCCTTTCACGGAGGGTTGCCAGATTACATACATGCCAAATAGGACATAAGACGTATTAGAAAATACGTTTAACTACAATTTAAAGTTACCTGGGTGCCCTTGTTGGTCCCTTTGGGACCCTCAGGAATTGAGGATGATTCAGGCTATGATAGGTGTGGTACTAGATTTACTTCATGCTTATGTTTTGCCAGTTTTGGTTAGTTTTCATCCTATTATCCAAAAGGCCAGTGAGAAATTCAAACGATTTCTCAATTATTTTTGCTCATTATTCATGTGTTTTATTGATCCCACACAGTATAATTGCCCTTTAGTAATCTGTTTTGGTTCGATTTTTGTGACTAGTGCATACACAGAGATGTGAAGCCAGAAAATATCCTCATCACAAAACATTCAGTAATTAAGCTGTGTGACTTCGGATTTGCTCGACTTTTGAGTGAGTATTGAAGTTTCTCTTAAGGATAAATGATGGAAAGATTCTTTATATAATAAATGATCTAAATGTTATCGAAAGCTAGCTCTTATATATAGTAAGTATCCTATCTAATAAAAGAGTAATATGCAAATTAAATGTCACTCCGTCACAGAGATGGTGGCGCCCAGTCCCCTCAGCCCCGACGCTGGAGTGTTTGGGCCTCTTTGTCCGGCCAGGGGTGGTGGATTTGCTGTTTTCATATGATGTTTTTGTTATTTTTATATCATGTCTTTGTTGTTCTTATATCATCTTGTTATTGTTTATTTATTAATAAGTTCATATATTATTTTCATATACATTTTACTCATTTCCTTTCATCTCTCATACTTCTATTATAAAGAAAGGGAAAATAGCAATATTAACGTATTTCCTCTAATTAATTCCCTTTTAATGTGTATGAATTGTGTGCACCGGGCCACTAGTATATAAATATAAGAACTTATGATAAATTCCAGTTATGTAATTACTGGAAATAGGTAGACACATACAGTAGTTTAAAAATGTATGCGGTAGCCCAGCTATATAGTACCTTTCAGAAGTACTAGTTTAGAAGAGTGGGTTTCACCTTTGGCTGCAGGTTAGAATCACCTGGGGAATTACAACTATAAAAACCATCCTGATTCCCCCGCCCAGGAGCTGTGGTTTAATTGGACTGGGGTGGGGCCCAAGCACCAGTAATTTTAAAAGTTCTATGTTCCAAGTGATTTTAATGTGCAAGTAGTGTCGAGGACCCACTGGTTTAGAAAAGCCGCATGATGGGGCACAGCTGGATGTCTCAGGTCTTCCCCTCCCGGTTTTGATTCCACCTTTGCACTGTTCTCTCTGTTTCCCACGTCCCATCGCCGACCAGCTGGACCAAGTGACCACTACACAGACTACGTGGCCACCAGGTGGTACCGCTCCCCGGAGCTGTTGGTGGGGGACATGCAGTACGGCCCCCCGGTCGATGTGTGGGCCATTGGCTGTGTCTTCGCTGAGCTGCTGTCCGGGGAGCCTCTGTGGCCGGGAAAATCCGATGTGGACCAGCTCTATCTGATCAGGAAAACCTTGGGTGAGTGGTGTCTCTGTCCTACCTTTTGGGCAGCTCAATAGTTTTATCCACATCAGTGCAGGGCAGAGCCACGTTACTAGTCTTACTGAATGCCCTTTATCGTTAAGAAGGAGGGACACTCCCACCGCCTCCTTTAAATGACTATGAAAGGTGTTCCATTTGTTTTAATAAAAAGAATCCACAATTTTGAGTGTGTGCTATTGTCCAAAAAGACATGATTGTCTCTTTGGCGTAGCTTAAACTCTGAATGATGATCATAGCAACAATAAAAGCATGCAGTCCTATAAGGGCTGAACAGCGTACAGGATACTGATGTGTTTCGTCTCGTTTACGATGATGTGGTCATTCATTCGTCAGTTGTCCTCCCTCCAGCCTGCCAGGCTTGTTCAGATTACTCAGAGAAAGATTCTCACCCTTCTAGGTGTCAGGAGAGAGTTGTCCATCTATCGTCCCTCTGCTTGACTTGCTTTCCCACTCCTTCCTTTCTTTCTACTCGTGGGGTGGAGGGGGCGAGGGGAAGAGAAGAGAGAGAAGGAGAGAGACAATCTATAATATATCGGTGATTGTCCTTTTCAGAAGTCAGGAGGATAGCTACTACCTTCCCTGAGAACCCACTTGCCCTCTTCTAAACTCTTGTAGCATCTGCTGTCACCATGCCTTTTCCTCCCCAAATATCCTGTTGCTGCCTGAGGGTGAGACGTATCTTTCATTTCTATCTGTCCGCCAGCGTTTACTGCCTACAGAGGAGCAGTAAGTATTTGCTGGTGGCTCTTTTCGATGGCACAGAAGAGACTGACTGGGAGCCCTTGCAGGGGCACTCCGCCTTCCTCGCTGTTTCTCCTGGTGATTTTAGGACCCCCTCTCCCCGCCTCCCCCCGGCTCTGATGGAAGAAGGTTATTAAGGTCCAGGCACTGCTGTTGTGATGAAGACCACTGAGGTCTGGGGCGAGGCATTGGAGGGTATATTTTGGCCGCTCCTGTTGAAAACGGGGTGGGCCAGCAGCTTTGGGGTTTGAGTGGGAGGTAAAGTTCCAAACTAAACTGGTAAAATTAGACAACGTGATACCCTGTGGCAGGAACTTCAGCCCAGCCCAGTAGCAGCGTTTCTGGAGTCCTGATTTGGAGGGTTTTTGTTCACTCTGCTCCACGAGGTGGGTCTGAGTGTGCCTCAGGGGTGCCCTGCTCTGAGGATCTCCTTGTGTTCTCTGAGCGAAATTCCTCTTCAGATTCTACCCCTAGAATTTTCCTGAGGACAGTTTTATCTGATTTGGCTGACATGTGGGTGGAGTGAGCCTTACATAATCCCCAGAATACAGACATGCCCCTTTCGTTTCATTGCTTGGTATTGTAAATACTTCTAAACAGCAGAGAAAATGAGATTTTTTAGGTGATGGCTACTTGGTGAAACAAGAAAAGGTGGTTCCAGTTTATAAATGTCTTCCTTCCAGCTAGATCCTCTGTGATCCCTCTCCCTCCCTTCTTCCTTTCCTTCCTCAGATGTTTACCGTATTTTCCAGCGTATAAGACGACTTTTGAAATGAAAAAAAGCCTGCTCAGAGTGGCCAGAGTCAGAGAGGCGGTCTATTAAAAAAAAAAAAGAACTGGTGTTGCCTCGGAAGTGGGGGGTAGTCTTATACGCCAGAAAATACGGTAATGAGTGCTTGCTATGTGTCAGGCACTGTTCTGTGAGGCCAATGCACTTTTGTCTGAACCCATCAGGATTCAGTTAACATGATTTTGATTTATAGCTATTGTACTTTTGCTGTTAAAAAGAGGGGTGCTATTATTATTTGATGTGTGCGTGTGCGTGTGCGTGTGCGTGTGTGTGTGTGTGTGTGTGTGTGTGTTTCTGAGTTGTTTGGTTTGAGGAGCAAGAACCTTGTAGCCTTCTATTCCTGTGCCTAGCACAGCACCGCCTGCCGCACTGCAGGTCTCAATGTTGAGTTTGCCTCAGGGCCTCTCCCTCCCTCTGATAGGGAGAGCAGACTGCAGACTTCAGAGGTGTAAGCACAGACAGACACAGCACCAGGGAGCGAAACCACAGGTCAGGGCTTGCTAACCCATCTCATTTTATCTTCTTCTTTCTCCTTGTCCAAAGGAGATCTCATCCCTAGGCACCAGCAAGTATTTAGCACCAATCAGTACTTCAGTGGGGTGAAAATTCCAGACCCTGAAGATATGGTGAGTGACCCATTTTGGGAAGAATTCTGCATGTTAGGGCTGAATGTCAGCCCCATGGCCTCGTCTGCCCTGGAAGGTCAGTCTAAGAGTAAAAAAGAAATTGGGGCAAATTGGCTAGCAAGGCCCTGGCCGTCAGTTCTAATTTAGAGTAAGCTGCTGATAACAGAGGCGAGAGAGCCTGATGGACAGGAATGCAGGGTGCCTGCCCTGACCTCACCTGTCTTTTGTCATTTTCAGCAGTTGAAAGTAGGTAGCTCAGAGCTACCTACGTTCAGACAGTGACTCATCCAGGAAAATCCCGCATTGTCCTAATGCCCTGCTCTACTGAACTTGCATGGTCAGCCTCACCCCCATGCCAGTCCTCTATGACCAATGTGGGGGAATGCACTCATTCTAAAAAAACCTGAAAAACTAAAAATGTGCATACTCTTAGTCCACTTTAAAGAATTTGTTCCAATGAAATCATTAGACAAATACATAAAGACATAGCATTCTTTAATAGAAATGATTTCCTTTAATATCCCATCAGTATGGAATTAAATAATTTATGGAATATAGCCTTACAATAGAAATACCACATAGCCAATAAAAATAGATTTTTTTGTATTCACTTGAAAAAAGTTCATAAATGGAAAAAAAATGGTTATGAAACAGTATATATAATTTGACATAATTTTAATAGGTATTTAATACACAATACATGTGTTTATATCCTATCTAATAAAGAGGGAATATGCTGCTAATTGACCATCACACCCTCACAAAGATGGTGGAGCCCACAGCCAATAAGGAGGGAAGATGCTAATTGATTGTCACATCCTCAAAGATGTAGGCACCCATAGCCACAAGATGGCGATGCCCCGTCCCCTCAGCCCCACTAGGGTGGCAGGCATGCAGCACGTCCGGGCCTGCCCCCAGGCAGGTCCAGCCATTCTGCACACCTGCCTCCAGAGTCCCCCAGTCCCTTTAGCCCTCCAGGAGCCCAGGGCCAGCACGAGATGCAGGCAGGCCTCGGATGGTGGCTGCCCCGCCGCCCAGGGCTGTCCGAGACTCAGGTAACCAGCGCCCGCCTAGGTTTGCGCTGCCGGCAGTGACAGCAGCCGAGTTGTAATGGGGGCATCACCTTCCCCTGATCACCAGTTTACCTCCCATCCCTGAGGGCTCCCGGACTGTCAGGGGGGCAGGCTGGGCGGAGGGACGCCTCCCCTCCATTGCATGAATTTTCATGCACCGGGCCTCTAGTCTAAGTATAAAAAAATCTGACAATCTTTGGGAAATCATGCAAAGCTTTTTACATTTGTGAAACAAGTGGCTTCAAGGATACATACCGAAATATTAACAGCATGTATCTCTCTGGGGTGGGGTAATTTTTTTCTTCCTTTATGGTTTTAAATATTTTTTTTTTATGTCTTCTAATGAGCCTGTATGATCATCAAAAACATTTCAGAGCGCAATGAAGGTTTCTGAAATCCTGAGTTTCTACTGTTGAAGCAAGTACTTTCAAAAGGAAACTAACCCTCGGGTGCTCAGGGTCCACCTGGAAGGTCCATCAAGTTCCGCTTGAGCTTTGTTCCCTCCGCCCCTTGGCCTGCCTCACAGCGAGGGCTTCCTCTCCCCGCTCCCACAGCCACCGGCAAGAGGAAAAGCGGGCCGTGCTGGGGGCACGCGGGGCCAGAGGCAGGAATGTCACCGGCCAGCTGGGAGGCGACCCAGCTGGCTCGAGGGTGACCTGGACATTCCCAGTTCCACACGAAATATTCCTCAGTGGTTTCCTGCTCCCTGTCCGCCCCAGTTTCATAAATGTGAAAGGCTTCCCGTGGTTTCCCAGAGGTTGTCCTACAGGGGATTTCCTGTTGACAGAAACACAGGAAGAAGCAGCAGAGGGAACGTGCTGGTTCAACATCTGTGCCTGCGTCCCTCTGTTGGGCAGTCACCCTGCTGCTTCTGGGGCCCGGAAAACTGACCGAGCAGGCAGGGTGGGCCCATCCCATCCCAGCCGGCCGGCCGGCCGGCGGCCTCGCAGGCACTGGTGCTGAGACAGCAGGGCTCGGTGTCTGCAGCGCCAGGTCCATCCCTGGCCGTGCTCAGATTCAACACACAGACAGGGCAAGAGAAATACGTAAGCCAGCAGTTTTCAACCTAGTTCGTCTCATGGCACATAGAAACCAATTGCTAAAACTCTGTGCACACCAAAAACTATATTTTTGCCAACCTGACAAAAAAAAATAGGTGTAATTTTTTTAAAATATATTTTATTGATTTTTTACAGAGAGGAAGGGAGAGGGATAGAGAGTTAGAAACATCGATGAGAGAGAATCATCCATCAGCTGCCTCTTGCACACCCCCTACTGGGGATGTGCCCGCAACCAAGATACATGCCCTTGACCGGAATCAAACCCGGGACCTTTCAGTCCACAGGCTGACGCTCTATCCACTGAGCCAAACCGATTTCGGCAATAGGTGTAATTTTGATTCATTCACACCAGGCAGCTATTGTGTTGGCTGTTGTCATTTTTTAATTTGATAACCTAAGACCGAGGTTGGCAAACTGCGGCTCGTGAGCCACATGCGTCTCTTTGGCCCCTTGAGTGTGGCTCTTCCACAAAATACCATGGCCTGGGCGAGTCTATTTTGAAGAAGTGGCATTAGAAGAAGTTTCAGTTTAAAAACTTTGGCTCTCAAAAGAGATGTCCATCGTTGTACTGTTGACATTTGGTTCTGTTGACTGATGAGTTTGCCGACCACTGGCCTAAGGGAAAAGAGGTCAGGTATTGCATGTTTTAAAAATTCTTTCAGCATGCAGTTGAAAATTGTTGACTTAAGCTGAGGGGATGGGAGCTTTAGGATTTTTTTCCTCTGTGCATTACCGGGAATTCCAAAGCTGAGGCTCTTGTCTCTATTCCGTGATTAATAAGTGCACACTCAGGAACTGGCTGCTGTTGGCTGGTTCCCTGACCAAGACAACACTGTGCTTGCAGCACCAGGGAGTGACTCATTCCAGGAGCCTGGCCACCCTGCCGCCGCCGTTTACGCTCAGCACAGCTGGCCGTCTGTTTCACTCAGATGGCTGGCTCTTTTTCCCCCTCAGCACCCGTCTCCGATTAGCCTCTTTGTCAGCGGCATCTCTCCTTCACTGGCCTGTCTGTCTGTCTGACATTAGGCATTCCTCCCACTTTATCCTGTTTGTTATTCCTCATGGACTCCAGCATGTGACTGGTCTTCCAGGGCCAGAGAGGGTTTGATGAATATCTGCTTGGGAGACAGTTTAAACAACAACGGGATGATCAGAGAGACAGCAGGCTCTCGTGGTAGGACACAGCCGTTTACTTCAGAAAACCGAGAAGCATCTGGTCCCCTGGGTAACAAAAAAATCTGTTTGGAAGCTTGGTTTCTGTGAGCGCCAATGAAGGCAAATAGCGGGGCCCCTGTATATAAAAGCCAGTGTTGGTGCCAAAAAGTCTTCTGAGGCAAGAAAAGGCAAGTTATAGAAATTGAGGCAGAAGAAAAAGAAAATAACAATTGCTTGACAATTTTTTTTTTCTTTCCTAATGTTGTCTTCTCATAAGTTGCTACCTGCATCAGTTTTCCAGGAAGTAAGAGGAGTGGTCAGGAAGGAAATTGGAAGAGCAATGTGGAGGTGGGGAGAGAAGGAGCTTGGGAGACAGGCGAAGGGAGGTTGCTGCAGGTGGCAGGTGTGATGGGCAGAGGGTGGAGGAGGCAAGGAAGGTGCCAGGAAGATGATTCTCTCACTCAAAAGAAATGCAGTCTGAGGTCACCTCCTATTTGAATACATGCTGCAAATAAAACCTCCTTTTCTTTTCTTTTTTTTAACAGGAACCACTTGAATTAAAGTTTCCAAACATCTCTTATCCTGCCCTGGGGCTCTTGAAGGTAAAAGCATGGTTTCCAGCCAACCAGGAAGCACAAGGCCTCTGTTCTCACTGGGGAATCCACAGATTGGAAAGTGTTCCTTTTAGAATTCTTCTCCTTTCAAAAGCATGAATATTTTCAGTTTTTAAAATGGGTCCTATTCTATTACAGTAATAACATCTGTAAGTGTTTTTCATTTTAAAGATTTTTTTAAATGGATTTTTAGAAGAGGGAGGGAGAGGGAGATATTCATCAGCTGCCTCCTGCATGCCCCCTCCTGGGATGGAGCCTGGAATCCAGGCTTGTGCCCTAACTGGGAATCGAACCAGTCACCTTTCTGTACATGGGAAGATGCCCAACCAAATGAGCCGCACACCACTTTAAATAAACCCAACATTGTATTTGACTTCTACATTTACACAAAATAGAAATTTCAGAGGAGTGGTGCTTGTTTTTAAAAAGGATCCTTCAGAAAATGTTTAGCCATAGGATCCTTTTAAAGAGCCAACTCCCTAGTATACTTGAAGTAGATTTTGATTTTAAAACTTTATATACATACACATTTTTAGAAATATGTCTTATGTGAATGAGGTGCCAATTAAAATCTTTGCAAGTTACTGTCAATGTTCCATCCCTTTCAAAAAGTATCTAATGCATTTACTGATGCATTTATAACATAATTTAAAATGTGAGACAGTTCATTGTGGTATGGGGTCATGAGATTTAATCTATCCAATTATGAGCCCTATGGCCTACTTGCTGGCAAAGCAAATAGTTAAGAATGTTGTAATATAAAGGGATGTATATTATGTCTCTGTTTCCATGACGACACGGGTGCTTGTAATGCATAGACTATTTCTGAAGGAACATACAAAAATATCTGATTTTAGAAGGGGGAATGGAAAACTAGAGTAGTGGATTTTGCTGAATCTAGGGCATTTTATTTTTACCATGTGTAGGTATTATTTTTTAAATTAAAAAAACACATATCTAATTGTTTTGTTTTTTTCTTTTGTTGATTTAGAGAGGAAGGAAGAGGGGGGAAGAGAGAGAAACATCAATGATGAGAGAGAATCATTGATTGGCTGCCTCCTGCAGGCCCCCCAAATGGGGATTGAACCCACAACTGGGCATGTGCCCTTGACCAGAAGAGAACCCGGGACCCTTCTGTTTACAGGCCAACACTCTGCCCACTAAGCCAAACTGGCTAGGGCACCATCTCTAGTTTTTACAAAGTACACACAAGGGACTAAACAGGCTAAATGGACCCGTATCCTCCTCCCTCGGGGCAGAGTACCAACTGCCTCCGAAGAGAACAAGGTGGCCAAAACCGGTTTGGCTCAGTGCCTGCGGACTGAAAGGTCCCGGGTTTGATTCTGGTCAAGGGCATGTACCTTGGTTGCGGGCACATCCCCAGTGGGAGGTGTGCAGGAGGCAGCTGATCGATATTTCTCTTTCATCGATGTTTCTAACTCTCTATCCTTCTCCCTTCCTCTCTGTAAAAATTCAATAATATATATATATATATATATATATATATATATATATATATATATTTATTTTTTTTTTTTTTAAAGAAGAGAACAAGGTGGATAAATGACTTTTTGATACTATTTCTAGAAAGTATTTATTATTATATATGGTTTCTCATTTAGGAATGATCATGGAAGGAACTAAAATCATGATTGGGTGTTCCCCACCCTCTTACTTCCTCCCTCCCCATCTAGTTCCCAACTGAATAAACTGTAACTAATCTTACAAAAGAGAAAGAAATGACATTAATAAGTTAGTAGTATTTTTTTTTAAGGAAGATGGAATGTTCTCTTCTTTCAGAGCTGTCTTCACATGAATCCTGCTGAGAGACTGACGTGTGAGCAGCTGCTGCAGCACCCATATTTTGACAGCATCAGAGAAATAAGGGATTTGGCGAAATATCATGACAAACCAACAAGGAAGACCCTCAGACAGAACCCAAAGCACCTGCTTGGGGTAAAAATGGGGCACTGCATCACAAAAGCATCCAAGGTTACAGCTGCGAATGATTTCAGACCTGCCACCTGGGGAAAGAGTCTGAGTCTGTATTTGAGGTGGCCATTGTGACGTGCAGCTCCAGCACCTCGTTCCAGCCCCAGGGCACTGGCCACATGATTTCCCAACCAGGGCCCCAAGACACAGCCCCTTCTCCTTGAATCCTAAAGGTGTCCTTGCCCGGCAGTTCCCAGCTGCCACACAGGGCAGGGTGTTTGGTATACGTGAGCAAAGGTCATAGCCGGGCGTCAGTCCAGTTTTGGAAAATGAAATCAGATGTATCCCAGGTCATCTTGTTTGCCTTGAGCATTAATTGACATTCCAGGTTTATCCCCAAAAGGAAGTGTTTTCCGCCCTGACCCTTTATCGGCAGAGTTGGCTAGGGTAAATGCAGTGATGAGTGCCTTCAGTGACAGCAGCAGGGCAGTGCATGTAACCAGATAGCATCCAAACTGCACACTGGGAGCCCGTGAAGAGTCATGATTGGCGTAAAGTGACAGAGTGGCCTTACATTACCTTGTCAGAAGCCAAAACCGTAAAAATTTAGAATGGACTGTAGTTGGAACCACAACTAAGATGAGCTGGCTGCCCTAGTCACTTCCGGAACTGCCTAGATATCCCTTACGCTTAAATTATCTTGCCTTACACTTTCCCTTTGCAGCCTCCAATGCCCAGCACGCTGAGAGATATCTGATGATGTGTGTGAGGTTTGGAGGAGGAAAGAGGTAGTACAGGCCATTAGAATCAGGTACCAAGTGAATTCCAGGGCCCTAAGACAGCCCAGTTTCAAAATTAAGAATGCTTTTGTTTTATTTTTTTCTCTATCATATGTGATCCAAATAGCAAAAGAGACTGGAAATAGACTTTCTCCCCATATCTTGCTGTTTCTTTGTGTTCAAGAATAAAGGGTCTTGATGTAAATATTTTTACTTGCGAGAATATGGGAATACCACTAATTTGTATTATTTGTGAGAACTGAACAACTAGACTGTTTGATTTAAACGTAATAAAAAGTACCTGCTTTTCAGATATCTACGGCCATATAGTACAAATAGTGCCGCAGTTCACACTGAAAAGAAATTAATTATTAGGTAGTCAGTGAGGTGAGACTGAGCGAGACACAGGCCGGACACGCCCTGGAGCCAACCTCCCATGCTCCCTCCCTGGCCGGTGGGACGTGGGGTGACACTGGCTCAAAGGTTGTCTGTGAACAGGATCCTTCCAGCAGGTGGGGGTCCCTCAGCCTGGCCTGTAGGGATTGGATTGAAACCGGCTCTCCGACATCCCCCAAAGGGTCCCAGATTGCCAGAGGGCAGTTCTTGGGTGACGCACCCTGGAAGCGCACCACAGCTCCTGCGTAGAGCGTCTGACCCCTGGTGGTCAGTGCGCGTCATACCTACCTGCAGTGGGACGGTCGCTTAGCCTTTTATTTATATAGATACAAATACCGTATTTTTCGGACCATAAGACGCTCCGGACCATAAGACGCACCAGTTTTTAGAGAAGGGAAATGAAGAAAAAAAGATTTTGAAACAAATAGTGTCCTAAAATATTTTATGTGCATTAAAACCCAACATCAGTCATAAACACATGTAATCAGCCCTGTAAACAGCAGCATTTAGAACCATTTTTGAGCCGGGCAAGCACACAGAGACCACACAGAGCCGGGCAAGTAAAAAAACTTTTTTTTTAAAGTATATGTGTAGGCTATATTTGGACCATAAGACGCAGGGACTTTTTCCCCCCACTTCTGGGGGGGAAAAAAGTGCATCTTATGGTCCGAAAAATACGGTAATATGTGTGTTCTCCTTACTTTCACATGACATTTTCTGGTAGTATGAGGGAGCAGTTCTTTTTAACCAAGGAGTAAATGGGTAAATCGCCCAAATGCCCCAACTTCAGTTCTTTGCTATAAAACAAGGGATTGGCTTATAAGGTTCCTAAGGTCCTGTGAATGTCCCTTTTTCCCTATAATGTTAACATCTAAATTTTTTCATTTTTACATTCTCTAAATTTTCTTTAATGTGCATGTTTTTCTTTTTAATATGAAATAAACCTCTAAAAGGAAAAGCAGATACCAAATTTAAATATTTTGTCCTTTCTCAGGTTCTGGATTCTGGGCAGAAAAAGTATTTCTGTGCTAAAAGTTTTACTTATTTACATCTTTTGTGATGTGTTATCAACAATGAAAAAAGTGCATGGTGCTGAACCTAATTCTGTGTGTTATATTTTCAGTTTCAGAACCTACCTCAGCTCACTAGCAGCAGCATCCTCCCAGCTTTGGAGAATAAGAAGTACTACTATAATACCAAGAAACTTAACTACCATTTTCCAAACATTTAAGGAGCTTGGAGGTTGATGACAAAAAAGAACTAATCAATAACCCCAAGAAAATAAAACATGCATTTGATTGAAGACCATCACAATGTTGAGGAAACATAAGTAACTAACTGGAGGAAGCCACTTGGCAAGATGTGCAGGGAAATTCCAGAAACAATCTTCCATGCTTGATGGTGGTGTCCCGAACAAAAAGGAAAAAATCATTTTGATTTCCACTTGTGTTTTTGTTGTATCTAAGGAGCTGGACTTATGGACAGAAATATAAATAGTATCTACTGCCCATTCCTCTGGCAAAATTAGTCATGTAAAAAAAGATTTATGCTTCAATTGTACAATATGCAACAAGTGAAAAATGGGTTACAAAATACCCAGATGTATTTCCTTGGATCCTATATCTCCTGCTTTTTCAGATTGTTTCAACATCGTATTTAAAAAGTTTTTGTTCTTGAAATCAAAATACTTAAAGTCCCATTTACTGCTTGCTCTATCTCTTGCTTTTTAAAATTTAAACCATTTTTTTTGAATATTTGAGTTCAAAATATGTTAAATCATGGATTATCACAAAGGACTAATATATGCTTATGTATTTAGTGATATGTTTATAGATATTTTTCCCACGTACTTTTGTCTTTACCTTTAGTAAAGGATGCATCTTCGTCACTTTTTTTAGGCAAGATGGATTTACTATATCCATCTATATTTGTTCACTCAATTCCTCTTGCAAACAATGACGTGGAGATTGGCAGCTGACCAAAGTGATTAAGGAGTAGAATGAAACCTATAGTCTTCACAGGAACTATGCCTGCCAACCTAAAAACATTTAGAACATTCTCTCCACCTCAGCCTCAGGCTTGCAAACAGATCTGCAGGTAGGGCTATAGGGGTCTGGGTTTTGGAAGAAATTGCTTGTGAGCTTTTACTTGGGTCATGGAAGACATTAGGTTGTAAACCTAATATATATACACACAGAGTGGGGCAAAAGTAGGTTTACAGTTGTTTGTATAGCAAACAATAACAACATAAGAATAAACTCTGAGTTTCATGTATTCATAACTGTAAACCTACTTTTGCTCTACTCTGTGTGTGTGTACATTATACTAACAACTAATAATAAAAATGTAGTGTAAGTGCTGGTTGGTGTGCTCAGTGGTTAAAGCGTTGGCCTGAGCATCGAAGGGTCTCAGGTTCCATTTCCGGTAAAGGACACATATCCGGGTTACAGATTGGATCCCTGCCCTGACCTGGTGGGGTGTGTGAAGGAGGCAACTAATTGATGTGTCTCTCACACTTTCTCTCCCTTGCTCCCTTCCTTCCACTCTCTAAAAATCAATGGAAAAAATATCCTCAGGTGAGGATTAAAAAAATAATGTATTATTGAGGATTCCCAGCTTTGCACAGTGATACTTAAAATGATGACAGCATTAGCTCTGATCTGGCCTACTGCTCCTATTCAAACAGCTTTTTCATCCTTGTCACCTGGATACAACGGCAATATAAAATTCTGTTTCTTATAACTCAAAGCCATTTTTGGTTGATGTAATGCTCCTATACATAGCAGTTCTCAGCCATAGTTTTTGAAAGTTGTATTTTACTGTATCTTTGAAACATTTCTTCTACACCCTAAGTTTACTGATATGTTAATTTTCATGAGAGTATATGACCTTTTTCACTTATAGCTAAGTAATCCACCAAATTCTGGCAATTGTTCAATCAATTTAATGATATCCAGCCAATTTAATGATATCCATAGTCTTCCTGATGTATGTAGCTTCTTCCTAGAGTTGATACTAAGCTGAATAATCCCAGTATTATCTAATTCTTGTTATATAACTTTGATTCAAAGGACAAAGAAGGATATCCAATTTCTGTGACTAGTTTACATTTGGTGTTTTTCTTCTTTTCCTTAACCCAAAACAATGCACTTGACGAGGCAGATGACTATAACTGCCTAATTAATCTAATAGTTTTACAGAAAACCACTCAGAATAGAAAAGTAGCTCCAGACTAAACTGTGGTGAATCAGTTGCCTCATCATACGGTAACCAAACAAATCTGAGACAGAAGTGCTTATTTTTTATGAGTTCTACTAAATGTATGCTATGCTTAACCATACCTGTAATCTTTTCTTAACATGGAATCACCCACTGTTTCACGTGAAACTATTCTATATCCTTGTCTTTTCTGTAAATGTACTAATTTCTGATTCTTTTACATGACAGTAGCAATTATATTAGTAAATAGTGTATCATTTATGGTGTGTGCTATTTATATGAGCTAGTTTCTGAACACAATTAAAATTCATTTTTCTACCTGAATTCTGTATCATAGTGTTTATTTTGACATTATTTGCAAAGTTATATTCAAGCCAAACATATAGAAATCCACAAAAAAATTGGCATATAACTAACAATAACTGAATCAGGGCCACTTTAAGCAAGTAAAAAGAAAGATATTTTTTAATTTACTTAATGTTTAACACTGTTTTCTAGATATAGAATGAATGTTGTGCTTATCCTTTTTTATGATATCCTTGAGCTCATAGGAAATAGTATCCAATGTTATATGGGGAGATAAAATCCATTTCTAATTGGCATGTTAAAATTTTGTTTATAGCAATTTTTTAATTTAAGCAAAAAGTAAGCGCTGATCTTCATGATTGTTTCCTCTATTCTAATGCAATCAGCAGAACTATTTGAATTTATCCAAGTATGTATGTCTACTTATAATAAAATGCCAGACTAAGTTTAGCAAATAGACAAATTAATCAGAAATTAGTCATTCATAGAAAGGGTGTAAGTATGAAAAACACAGGAATGCAGGATTATGAGAAAGGCATGCAAATCCTGAGAGCAATATGAATGCCTCTGCAACCACTTACTTCTTGGCATAACTGACTTCAATGAATCTGAAATTTAGCTTTCAGTTTTTCCAAATTGTACATTTATAGTAACACTACAGGCCCAGTGCACAAATTTGTGCCAGAGAGCAGGGGATGGCTCAGCCCAGCCTACATCCCCTCCAATCCGGTACCCCTTGGGGGATTGAGCCTAAACCGGCAGTCGGACATCCCTCTCACAATCCTGAACTGCTGACCTGATCGCCCTAACTGTTCCTCCTGCTGACCTGATTGCCCCTCACTGCCTCTGTGTGACGGCCCGATTGCCCCTGTCCCCTGCTACCAGCCAGGTTGCCCCCAACTGCTCCCGCCCTGCTGGCTTGGTTGCTCCTAACTGCCCCCCCCCTACCAGCCTGGTCACCCCTTAATGTACCCCCCCCACCTGCCAGCTGGTTACCTCTTACTGCCCCCTCCCCACCTGCCAGCCTAGTCATCCCCAATTGCCCCCCTCTGCCAGCCTGATTGCTCCCAACTGGCCCCCATGCTGGCCTGGTCACCCCCACCTGCCTCCCCGCCGGCCTGGTCATCCCACACAGCCTGCTGTTCAGTTGTTTGGTTGTCCCTCACTAACCCCACTGCTGGCTTGGTAGCCCCACACAGCCTGCTTGTTTAGTTTTTTGGTCATCCCTCACTAACCCCCCTGCCAGCCTGGTAGTAGACAGCCATCTTGTGAGGGTGTGAGGGTTAATTTGCATATTACCTCTTTATTATATAGGATGCTTCAATAACTATAAAGTGCAACATAAATTACTGTTAAAATACAACAAAGAACATCTGTTTGTACATTTAAATGATTTTAAAGAATTCTAAGTCAGTATCTACATCACGAGATATCTATATAAAATGAGTAAATTAGAATGAAAATGTTACCAAGTTTGTATCACTTCCAGTTTAGTAACTTTAATGAGTCTCATCTGAATATTTATTTTCTACATGATGGACTTTCTGCTTTTAAAATATCATGATATGATGTCCTTATAATTCTACTGATGCTTACATAATATTTGTTGCTATTTAGGGTCAATAATTTTAAATGATACTTTATATTGAATAAGGCACTTATTGATGATGATTATTTTGACTCAAGTCTAATTTTAGTTCCATATAAGGTAGTAATGTCTTAAAGATTTTAACAAGGTTTTCTTTCTCTCTTATTCCAGGAAGATCACTTAGCAACAAATACTTGAGGTTTCTGTAAAAAAACAAAGAAGTTATTTAAATTATAGCATTAAAACTAAACTTGATTTATTGACTTTTAGAAAAAACTACACAAATAATGTATATATTCATTGTCAGAATTACATCAATAATTCTAGCTGAATCTTTCCAAATACCATATGTATATTATGGCATAGGATACCTTTGCCTAAGAGTGATAAATGTGAATCTTAACCTAGAAAGGGAGACAAACCAGGAAAGTTCTTGAAGGAACTCAAGGTGAAGCCTTGAAGCCTCAACTAATGTAAGAAACAAATAACCTAGTACTTTTGGTTCTAATGTTTAAAATTCTCAAACTTCCTGTGATAGGTTATTGGCAAAACATGGGGGAAATTAGTTTTAAAAACAGAGAAGAAGCCTAATAGCTAATCTTTGAGAGCTTACTGTAGCAGGCACCATGCTGGAGCTTTACTTAGATTTATGTTTTTTAAGCAATATTCCTAAAAAATGTAATAAAACCATAATGTATTAAGGTTGATAATTTCAACTGTTTTAAGGTATTAAAGACGAAAGTTAAGTCATTTTCTTATATTTTTCAAAACACGACACCATCCCTCAAGTGTTTTAAATTCTGATTTTTCACCTTAACATCATTATCAAGTTTCCATTTTGGCACTGACCACCTACCTTAAATGATGCAAAGCAATGATGCCTTTGTCTGTGACATTCCCACATGAAATTATTTCCATTTCCAACAAACTTTTTTGTAAATTTTCAAATTGACTAATTCTCTCCAAACAGCCATCCTCGATATAATGACACTTGCATAGCCTTATTTTTTCAACATGCTGTAGGCCCTCTAGGAGGAAAAGAGCAGTTTAAGAACCTGTTTTACTATTAAAATAACCAACTCTCACCAAAACCAGTTTGGCTCAGTAGATAGAGCGTCAGCCTGCTGACTGAGGGGTCTCAGGTTCAATTCCGGTCAGGGGCATGTGCCTTGCTTGTGGGCATGTCCCCAATGGGGGGTGTGCAGGAGGCAGCTGATCGATGTTTTTCTCTCATCGATTTTTCTGACTCTCTATCCCTCTCTCTTCCTCTCTGTAAAAAATCAATAAAATATGTATATTTTTTAAAAAAAATAAATAAATAACCAATCCCTAGTTTTCCCAGGGCTGTTCTGATTTTAGGATTGAAAGTCCCATGTCCTGGGAAACCGCTCAATCCCAGGAAAACTGGAACAAATAGTCACCTTAATAACCATAGACGGTATTCACCATACAGGTTGTGCTGATAAGACTATTTTGCAGTGAAACATCCAGGAACTGGGGGAAACACACACACACACACACAAAACCCACTCAAGCAGAAGCTGTATGGGTAGAATTATTCCCTACATCATTGAGGATTTCTCAATGACAAAAGTTTGACAAAGACAGTTTGACAAACAAGGCTTGGATTTTAAGTCAATAAACTACAGAATAAAGTCATATAGAGACAAACTTAGTAAGGGGGAAAAGGAGAGGAAGATGCTTATAACCTCTAATTTGAAAATATTATAAATCAGAAGAAACAATCTGGATGGTATTAAAAAGGCAAAAAGGACATATCTATGACTATAATATTCAACTGCAACAAAATGTCACTGTAAATCACCTGCATTTTTCATAAGCAAATGATAAGGCAGTTACCCAGGTGATCAAATCCGATGCTCATGATACAAGAGTCGGTAGCATCGATGGCCTGGATCTTGTATTTGTCCAGAGGGCCTGTGGGGAGGTTGTTGTAGTCCTTCTGCCACCTCTGCTGGCCGTGATAGCGTACCATGGCCCCACAGCGCAGCAGCCACTCGGAGGCTGCCCTTTCGGGGCCCACATCCTTGATGCGTTCATAATCTACTCTATTGGAGAGAGAACAGAAGCAGTTAGCTTTTACTATAATCATTACCTTTTTAACTATATTCATCAACAAAAAGACAATAGAAAAAAGTTTCATTTCAAATGACTGAGGAGGGAAACAAGTATACTACTGAGATCCATGTAAAAGAAAAACATACAATGGCTCTACCTGCTACCTTTCCTGCTTTATTTTTGTTTCCAAGTGAACATCTCTGAAGGTATATTATTTTTATGTGAGTTTTTCAGGCAAATGTGAGTCTTCATTGATTCAGATGTAGCACAGTGCTTGACACCAGGAAGTACCGTATTTTTTGGACCATAAGACGCACTTTTTTCCCCCCAGAAGTGGGGGGAAAAAGTCCCTGTGTCTTATGGTCCAAATATAGCCTACACATATACTTTTAAAAAAAAGTTTTTTTACTTGCCCGGCTCTGTGTGGTCTCTGTGTGCTTGCCCGGCTCTAAAATGGTTCTAAATGCTGCTGTTTACTTTACAGGGTTGATTACATGTGTTTATGACTGTGATGTTGGGTTTTAATGCACATAAAATATTTTAGGACACTATTTGTTTCAGAATCTTTTTTTCTTCATTTCCCTTCTCTAAAAACTGGTGCGTCTTATGGTCCGGAGCGTCTTATGGTCCGAAAAATACGGTACTTAATAACTTGTATCGAAAGAATGATATACCTGGTTATTGTTTTTATTAATGATAAAAGATTAAAGGGAATAATTTTGAACCTATGTTCAAATTAATCTCATTAAAGTGATATTCATTAATTTTTATATATGCCTTTTTCCCTAGTCAGTGGTGTTATTGCTATATTAAGCAATGAGAAAATTAGCTTCTTCAGTTTCAAAATGATACTTCTAAGCATGCCTCCCAATTATTTTTTAAAAACTTGAATTGCCTTGATAGTATTCAAAAGGCTAACTACATCTATTAAGAAGCCATAGAATAAAATATCCTAAAATATTTATTACTGATATTTTCTGATTATAAAAATAATGTTAATTTTAGAAAACTTGAAAAGCATGGAAAAGCCAAATAAGATAAAAGTCACTGATATCTTGCAACCCAGTTATGTTAATACTTTGTCATCTATTTTGGGGTCTTATTCAACTTGTGTATATATATTTTTGTTTGTTTTTAAACAAAATGAGGCTCCACTGCACATACTATGCAAAAAAACAACAACATTTGGAATACAAGAAATAACCAAATACCTATTGCAAATTCAGCTAGCTTTAACAATTCCCACATTTCTTCGTTTAAATTAGAGTAACTTACTTATTAAACACTGTATTCAGCCAGCCCCAGAAGTTTCTGGAGTCACGTGACCATGGGAGTTTTTTTAAGCCACACA